CTCTTTCCTATTCCTCAGTAGCTGCATTTATCCAATAGCTTTAAATTGGTGCCTGGATATATTTTTTTTTTGATACTTTCTCCATTTGCACCATCTTCAGCATCTTAGTCGAAGTTCAGTATTTCTAAACCTTGGCAGCTTGGAAATGTGTGGACTTCCAACTCCCAGAATTCCCAAGCCATTCATTATCTATGCTGGTTGGGGAATTCTGGGAGTTGAATTCCACCTATCTTCAAGTTCTCAAGGTTGAGAAACACTAGATGAGCCCCACAAGCTTAGTTTGCACCACCCCTAAATAGATATTTTAGGAAATATTAAAAGGACAGAATATTTCCCCTAAAAGGCGGCAGAAACTCAACCCCCACACACACCTTTGTCAATGGGCAATTAAGGCCTGAGCCAGTCTATTCTACATAACAAAGATCTACCTCCTTCAGGCAGAGCCATAATACGAATCCCAAAGGCTTTTCATCATCACCCAGAAAGAATCAACCAAGCTTGGGACTCAGGACAGCCTAAAGAGTTGTCCCTGCGTTGCCCATGGGAGTCTGACAAGCAATCAGAATAGAAGCTCAAATTCAAAGCCCAACAGAGGACATAAATCTCTCTCTTTCTCTCTCACCACTCCATGTGCCTTTTTACCCAGGACCTCAAGCCATGTGGTCCTGTCCATCATTAAAACCATCTTTCCAAACAGACACCATTGTTTCCAGTGTCTTTCTCCCCACTTGGAACTGAATGCAGATGGACATTTTTCTTCCAACAAAGTTAAGGACAATCCCTTCACCAATATTAAACTCTGGTTATGGAATGGATTCATACTTTCAAGATTTTTGAAAGACTCTCCTTTCATATCAACCTAAGCTACCATGGCTTGTTTAACAAAATTAGAACAAACTAACCTGGCTGATCAGTTATGCGTTAATACAGTACAGCCATTCTCTAACTATGGGGGCTCTTTCCATGGATTTATTTCACTCAATTTCCAAAGCTATCAAATAACTCAATGTTTCTCAATTTTGGGAACATTAAGTTGTGTGGACTTTACTCCCAGAATTCAGGGAATCAAGATGGGGTCTCAGAGTCCCATGCTAGCTAAGGAATTTTGGGAGTTGAAGTGCATTCTTGGAGGGAGATAAGACAGTTCAAAAATGTGAAAAGAAATAAATACATACATACATACATA